CGTTACGTTACGTTACCGTTACGTTACTTACTACGTTACTACGTACTACGTACTACTACTACTACTACTACGTACTACTACGTACTACTCGTTCTCTCTCTCTCTCTCTCTCTCTCTCTCTCTCTCTCTCTCTCTCTCTCTCTCTCTCTCTCTCTCTCTCTCTCTCTCTCTCTTACTTATATACACACATAAATAAATAGATAATATTTGTGCAAGTGACCTTGAGTTGGAGAGTTCTGCACGTTTCTTCTCTTTCTATCAGTTTCTCAACAAGTTGCTGGCTTTCCCTCTCGGATCGGCTGTGTGATTCGACCTTTGATTCAAGAATTCCCTCGAGCTCTTTCACCTGCCAAAGCAAAATTAGGACTAGCTAAATCCAAATATGACACTGGAGACAGAGTTTTATGCATTTTGTAATTAGTTAGAAGTTTTTTTCACCTTTTCTTGATAACTTCTACATTGCTGGTCTTTGCCTCTGAGCTTGGCCTCTAAGGCCTGACAATTATCTTCAAGCTTCTTCAAGGTTTCTTCCTTAAACCTTGATTCTTGCCTTGATTTCTCAAGCTTTAATAACATATAAAAGAAAGAGAAGATTCAGCTGGTCATAGAAAGACTTATAAAGATAAAGATGTAAGTTCGACAACTCACCATGAGTTTCAGCTTTTGAAGTTCGGTGGTATCGATTTGCTTTTTGGCTGGACCCAGCTCCACTCCCCTAACTCTTGTTGCAAAATTCAGTGAGCTAAGTGTTTCACCTGAGTCCTTCTCACATGGGCTGATTTGTACAAACATCAGTGTTTTGGAGTCACCACCTACATTCCAACCAAAGTGCACTATAATGAGGGCTTGTACTATTGATGACAAAATGAAAAGGCAGAGGCGGTCTATTGTTAACCATCAAAAAACCATTAATGAGACAGAGATGATACCTAATGAGTCCTGCAGTAGATGTGTCAGCTTTGAGTTCCTGCAAAATTTTACATTGTCAAATATATATACATTGACAAATTATCAAATCTTAAGATAAAACATCTGAATGGTATATAAGTTTGGAAACCTGTAAGGAACATGGCTACTTTTCGTAGCTAAAGCATTTATGACATCTCCAAGTGCTGATAATGATTTGTTTATATTCTGAGCTTCCTTTAGGCGCTCCCCCTGTGCCTCAGTCTTTCCTAACCTCTCACTTCCTGCTAAGTCCACTAGCCAAAGCTTGCTATTTGTGCATTCCCCACTCATCAGGTTCTTGGACCTCACCATTATACAAAGCATACTGTACAGTAAAACACAGTCCAGTAAACAAAACTCATAATCAAAATAATTCAGTATTCAATAGAAACTGAATAAGAATAAAACATTATAATGCAAATATCAATCCAGTGAAGCAGAAAATTATAGTCCATAAAGTAATTTAGAAGTTCCAAAAAAAAAATCAAGAAAAATGAATGAGAAAAGAAATGAAATATTTACCCGCAAAACCAAGTCCTCATTAAACCTAAATTAGAAATCAAATTCTCAGAAAATAGGTTAGGATGAAGCATCAGAAAATAAATATGAATTCGTTAGGATGAAGCATCAGAAAATAAAAATGAATTCAGAAAGTTAAAATCTAGAAACCGAAAGATCTTAAACATCAGTAGGCAAATAAGCAAGTTAATGAATAACCAATGATGTATTTATTTGCCTGCAAAACCAAGTCTTCATTAAATCAAATTTACAGATAATTGGTCAGGATAAAGCATCAGAAAATAAACCTGAATTCCGAAAATTAAAATCTAGAAACCAAAAAATATCTTAAACATCAGTAGGCAAATGCAAATAGAAATCCAGTGAAGCATACAGTATAATAGAAACCCAACTTAATGAACCAAAATTCAAATAAGCCAAATATTAATCAATAAGAACTTAAAGCATTAGTTGATGCATGTAAAGCAATTGATGGATGTATATGACTTAGGAATATTGTGCTCACTTACATTGTAGATTTACAACCGAGTCTTTAAACAAAACCAAACTCAACAGTGCAGGAGAAAATTGAGAAGATGGATATACCACTAACCAGTGAGATCGGCTGCTATGCTCGTTCACATTGTTTGAACCAACAGCTCTTGCACTACTTCCTGCCTGAAGAACAGTCCACACCTCACTACTATTATTCACTTGGGCTTCAACAAGGCCTGGTACATGATGGACTCCTTCACCAGCTTGTTTTATCTCCAGCCTTTTATCCCAGTAATAAGAGAAAAGGGAAAGAAAATGAAACCCAAGTTATGAATCTACAGGAAAACAAGCACAATATAGGAAAGAAAAGAACCATTCTCATTTAATTCTCAAATCATGATAAAGGATACTACAATATACATATACAGCATTTATGTCCTTGAAGAATAGCCATGCAAGAAATATCTGGGCAAAGGAAAATTGAGCACATGGACGCACATGCAACATGCATACACACACAAAAACAAATACATAGGACCATGTCTCTGAAACTGAGACAAACAAGTGAAATACGAGAGAACAGAAAATTCTTGTCCATTCCCTGAATTTCAGACTTTTCTCATAATATCCTGTGCATCGAAGTATTAGATTACAGAAGGCTTCTAAAACAAGAGAGAGAGAGAGAGAGAGAGAGAGAGAGAGAGAGAGAGAGAGAGTAGTAGAGTACTACTACTTACGTTACGGTAGGACGGACGGTAACGGTACGGTGGTACGTAACGTTAAACGTTAACGTACGTACGTACTCGTCGTACT